ATGCTTTTCTGAATCACCCGTCCCCAAGGGGCTATAAAAAAAAATTTAACTAGATGCTTTTATTAGCATGATCTATATTATATAAAACGCTAATACGTACATATGTATGTATCAATAAAACCGATGATATTTCTTTTCTCGCGCTGGCAACAGTTTTCATTTTTAATTGATTGGATTCGGCGCGCAAGGGCACGTAGTGAGCTTCATATGGCTAATCCATGTTATATAAAACGCTAATACGTTTTAATTGATAGGCTTCGGCGCGCAAGAGCACGTAGTGAGCATCATATGTCTATCTATCTCCGATTGTCACCGAAAAAAAACGGTTGGTTGATTATGAGTACTGAAATAGTTCCTTTTCATTGGCAGAAATGAGAAGTGTTATGCTATTGCTATTTCATTTTGAATTGAGCGCTTTACTATTCCACGTTTTGTTATATTATTAGTTATGAGTTGAATGCAGTTTTAATATTTCACATTTATTTTAAGTGAAAAGTTTTCGGAACTTCTGTAAAAGTGTGAACGTGAACATTAATTATATTCTTATTACATATTTAGTATTCCATGTTTTGGCAACAGCAGTATTTAGTATTCCATGTTTTGGCAACAGCAGTTCTTGTGTACGATATTGATTTTGAGTTTTTAGAATAACGGTGTGTGTAAATTTTAATAAAGTATTGATTTGTTTTTCTTTTAAAAGTTGTTTCTTCCACTTCACTGTTCAAAAAAGTATACAAAAGCTAGACGTTAAGAACGTATCCAATGAGCGAGCATCGGATTGCGAAGCAATCCGAAATGAACTGCGCCAGCGAGCAGGGGGCGAAGCCTCCTAGTTAGTTAGAAAATCACAACATTCAATATGGATATCCAACTTTAGGTCCCAGAAAGTGTCTGCTGCAGCAACCTGGAGTGCCGGGAGGTAAGGTGATGGGTACCACGGGGTGTCAAAAACTTAAAGTCTGATATTAATCTCTTAAAAGTTATCTGCTGCTTTTCAAAAGAAAAAATATTTAATAAGTAGTAAATAGAGTTTAGAATGTATGCAGATATAAGTATCTTGTCCTAAGCGAAAAGTTATAAAAGTTATGCCCTACATTAAAAGTTTTTTTTTTCTTTTCTTTTTAGCAAAGTTAAGTTTTAATAGTTTCAATTTTAAAGTGCAAATACAGCTCGAAAAAAATTTTTCAAAAAAGTGTGAGGAGCTAGATTAAACTCCATTCTACGATTTGTTAAGTTATGTAACGAACAACGAGTTCCTCTATCACAATAACTTCCGATTTTATTTACCTTTTCCTTTTATTTTTAATTTCGCTTATTTACTTATACTATATATTATTATTAATTCCACCTTATAGCCTACAATTCAAGTATGAGTTCTCTTAACTAAGTTTAAATTCTTATCAGTTACATAGTTTTTTTTTTTTTTTTTTTNTCGGCCCGAAAGGGTTAAAACCATTTACAAGTTGCGGTGTAGAAAATAACTTTAAATCAAATTTACAAAGCAAAGTACAATTTATTAAAACATAAACTTGGCTACCACTAGAAGAATTTTTTCCAAAAGGTGATGAAAGCAAGCAGCCCGGACTTCTACACATATGAAAAGAACAATGTCATACCTGCAACCTTTACTCCTTTCGTGAAGGACTTATCACAGTCGTAGTAAAATGGAATTTAAACTACCATTTTTGGCAGAAACTTACGAGATATTTTAATAGCGCTAATTAATAATTATATATATGCTTAATTTTTTTGAAAATAGTGGTGGTCAAAAAAATTATAAATTAAGCTTATAAATGCAAGGAATACATAGAAAGCATATATTTTACTACCATTTTAAATATAGGAATACAATTTTGAGCCAAATGCGCAAAAGTTGGCAGGTATGCAATGTATTCATATGTTATAAACATTATGCTTAACATAAATAAACATATGCATACATTATACCACAGACATTAAAGAACTGAGGAGACGAAAGTTTGGAAATTTTAAACCCTACACTTTGAAAGCAAAATCTGTTTTTTTTTTTTTCTTTACATATATGACACATTTCTAAAGAGATTTTGTATGCTCTGTAATTATAAGAGTGTCATGATTGATATGTCATTTTAGGTGATCTGGAGCTTGTGACATGCATGCTTTTATAATCAAACTAAAAATCTGTTATTTTTATGGGTGGTTGTGGGTTTCATATGTTTTCTCAATCTATTATTAGCGTCTTATTGTTATTGATATTTAATTGTTTGATTTATCGCTTTCTCGAACAAAAAATAAGAAAGAATAAAAAAAATTATAAAAATGCAAATAGAAAAAAACAAGAATACTAATTTTCAAATTTACAAAAAAAAAATTCTAAAATGAAAGAAAAAAATTGCACAAGCAATGTATTTAAGATACTTAACTGAGTTTTTAATTAATGACAGCTATTTTCACAGAAAAAAAGTAAACTCAATTATTTTCAAAGGGTGAAATTATTTTGTGTGAAAAAAATTCCAATAATAAAAGAAAATAATAATTTACTCAAGTAATCACTTCAAATGTTGGGATGTGAAGCAATTAGTTATATTTTTTTCTATTTATACATTTTTGTAAAAAATGAATGAAGGAAGAAGATTTTTATCCGTAAGTTTAATTTGCCTTATCTGATTTGAATGTTTAGTTGCGTTTAGCTGAGAAGTGCTATATGTAGTAAGTTAAGACAGTTTTTTTCAAAGAGTGTTCAGCGGAACCCCAGGGTTCCGTGGAAAAAGATCAAAGGAGTTCCATCAGTTTGGACTTTTTTTTTCTCTAAACCAGTAATGATTTTTGAAACTTGTAATAGCACTGCATCGAACCAATAAATAATTATTTATTGACTATTTAGGTCATTTTTGTGAAATTATTTCAAAAAAATGTTAATAAAAAAATAAATAGTAAATTTTTAAAACAATTTTTTTTCAATAGCAATATTTTGAATAAATTACTAAAAGAAGATAACATAAAACATTTATATCAGTATTTCTCATCGAATTTTAAAATTCAAAATTAAGTAACCAAATTCAAGAGTAAAGAATTATCTATCACTGATAACCCTTCTTGGCACTTATAAGATTTTCAAACATCAGAATTCAGATTATTTTATTCAATTTTATCTAGGCATACTCTAAAAAACTACAAGACTAAACACCACAGCTTATTTGAGAATTCAATTGTCAAATAGAAATTTCAAGACTTAATTTTAAGAAACAATTAAAAAATTTCACTATTCTCATTTTTTTATTTTATTTTATAACCGTCGTTGAACAGCCGACCCAATTTCATGGGTTTACGACTACTTACGTTCAACTCCGTAGCCTTGTAATTTTGAACCAATCCAGAAGACAAGGAAACTCCTGGATCAGTACCCCCAGAGGTATTGATTTGTTGTGGGAACATGGAGGACTTTGAGACTCGACAGATTTAACGTGCATCAGTCACCATTTACTAGACGGGGAGTCTTCGGCCGGCGAGGATCGAACCCACGACCTCTTGGATATGGGCCCAGCCGCCTACCGACCAGGCTATCCCGGCCACTATTCTCATTAAATGTTTAGATTTAATGTATAGTTTTTTTCTAGTTAGCATATTTGCACCCGTTAATGGGCTTTTTCTTTAAAGTTAGGGTTCGCCAAAAAAAGTTTGATGTTTAGGGCTCCATAGTTGACAAAATTGAGAACATCTGAGCAAAGATATAAGGTACGCTGAAAAATATTACAAAACTTATAATGTTACATAATTCTTAATAAATTTCTTAAGCACATTAACAAGTTATTATCGATATAAGCCAATTTTTCTTACGTCTAATTTTTAATGTTATTAGATTTCGAAATAATCCTAACAAATTTACAATTTATACTGTATAATACTTAGAAAAGTTAGAAAACAGTAATGTAAAACTTGAATTCATTTACTACCGAAACTCTGTTTTCTCTCTTCAACTCATTTTGAAAAAAGATTCCAAATAAGTTATTAAATTTGTTTTTATACTTGAAAAACATTAAGAAAAACAATACTAAAATTCCTGCAAAACTGTCTTTTTTTTCAAAAAAATATGGACAATTTATATTTTTCTCAGGGAATTCAAAATCAGTAAGTCAACAAAATAAATATACTATCAAATTAATGATTAAAGATTAAAATAAAAATAACGTTTTAATTTTAATATATTAATATTTGTTCCAGTTTTACTAACGTAAAAAAATATATTGACTTTAATTATATATTTTATTAATTAGCTATTATTTTGACTTCTTTTATTTATTTGTTGCATATTCTCCAACATTTAAGTTTTGAACTAAATATTTTTGGTAGTAGTGAATTAAAGCATATATTGTGAAACAAACAGAATATTTTTTAAAAGATGTTTAGCGGAGCTTCTAAACGTAAAAAATGGCCAAAATTTCTTTAAATCTAATTAATTGAAAATTTAGTTCAGTACCTTATCTCTCATCAGGAAATATGTTTCCTAAAAATACTGATATTTCGCAGTTGTGGAAGTAAGTTATTGTAATATGATGACAAACAAAATTAAAATTATATCAGTTGAAAATCAGAACAAATTCGTGGGATCTAGATGTTTTTTGTTTGTTTTTTTTTTTTATTTCTTTTCAGGTTTGAAAGTATAAGAATTAAAATCAAAAATGATTATTGTGATCTTGATGTTTTTTGTTTCTTTTTTTTTTAACTTTTTTTCAGGTTTGAAAGTATAACAATTAAAATCAGAACTGATTATTGTAATCTTGACGTTTCTTGTTTACTTTGTACTTTTTTTCAGGTTTGAAAGTATAAGAATTAAAATCAGAACTGATTATTGTGATCTAGACGGGGGTTGTTTTTTTTCTTCAGATTTCAAAACATAAGAATTAAAATCAGAACTGTTTCGTGCGAATTAGAAGTTTTCCTTCATTTCTTTTCAGATTTGAAAATATAAGATAATCAAATAAGTGAATGAAGGTAACAAGGAAAACAAAAACCCAACTTACCAAGAGGAAATAATCCTTATTCGATGTGTGTTCTCTGGAAACTCCTCGACTCTAAAAACAGTCCTTTTTTGCGATGGGACCTAGAAATCTTCTCTTTCGATGAGTCAAATGTATGCCGGAAATGACGACAAAGAAAGAAATAGCGAAGGTTCCTCTTCTCGAAGGTAGCGACAGTTGCCTCAAACCTTCTTTTTCATCTTCCTGCTCTGTTTCTAATTCCAATCTTCATCTTCCAGTTCACTATCTTTTTGCACCCTCGCAGCTATTTACACTTTCTGACATCAGCCTTCAGGTTGTACAATCGTTGCTTTGTGTCCGGCGTTGTGTTTTCAAACCTAAATAGTTCAACTAATACTATTGCTGATGGTACTATTTAAGGAATAGAAACAATGGATGAATAACTATTTTTCGCTCAGAAAGCAGCAATGTTCTAAAAAATTTAATTCACTTGACATTTTTATTCCTGTTATCTTACAGTTAGGAATTCAATTATTACTATTTCAACACCATTCACCAAAGTATGATAGATGTAATAAACATATAATTTACAAAAACGAAAAAAAAGAAGAAAAAAAACTTTAACCAAATTAAAATTAGTGCCCCGCCTTCTCATGGTGAAGCTTTTAAAATATTGGCAAAATTAACATAACTTCTGAAAGCTTTAATTTTTAATTTTCTGCGACTCTATAAAACATTTTGCAAAAAACGCAGCAGTTGGTATCATTTTTTTGAAAATTATAAAAATCGCGGAGAACTGACAAATATATTCCATCTTCAAAAGAATAATAATAATAAATAGATAAATACACAAATAAATAAACAAAAAAAATTAACCAACCTAAAATCTTTATTCTTTTGTTGAAAGTTTTAACTATTCATTTTTTCTTCCTTGTGGTTTTTAGACCAAAAGCCTATATTATTCATCCTTATGAAAGTATTTGCCTCTTAATAAAAATATCAAATGTCTTTATGCTAGGTTAGAACATTGCTAGGTTTTTAATAGGTTAGGTTTTAGGTTTTTGCATCCTTACAAGTTCCTAAAAACAGAAAATTTTCGAATCAATAATATTTTTCTCCAACTTGTCATGATCTCATTAAATGATGGTAGGTGTGTATGTGCTTAAAAAACAAATGATTAGTTGATAAGGGTTAACGATATCCAAATTTAGACCCACAAAAAACATAAATTTTAATTCTGATAATTCTTTTTATTCCAACAAATTTACAAAATTTATCCGGTTTACGGCATTCAATACTGCACAAAGAAAGCATAAATTTCATTCGAAATAATTCTTTTTAGTTTAACAAATTAGCCCTAGATGACAAATCATGCTCAGTTTACAGCATTCTATACTTCATTACCGCAAAAAAAAACTTTTAAAAATTAAAAAAAACATACATTTTATTAGAAGAAATTCTTTTTAGTTTAACAAATCAATCCTAGAGGGCGAAGCCTATCCTAAATACGGCATTCAATACCGCACAAAGAAAACATAAATTTTATAAGAAGAAATTCCTCTTAGTTTGAGAAATTAACCCTAGATGACAAAGCATATCCGGTTTACGATATTCAAATTACACAGAACACCCAGTTCATAGAACACAGGAACCATTGATTTTAATATTCATAGTTCTTTTTTTATCCTGACAAGTTAATATTGTACAGCAAAATTGATCTGGTTTATATAGTATTCAAAGAGCATACACGAAAACATAGGTTTTACTACTGAAATTAATTTTATTTATTTGAGCTCATTATAAGCAAACTGTAAGTCAAAGCTGTGCCTATTGACACTAAGATAGTGCTTCGTTCGAAATATATAATTTTACAACCAGACAGAGATATATCTGGCTTTTCAATTGTAGCTTTATCAAACGAATCAGTCAAACCAAGCAACGTTCGGCGGTTTATTTGTCTGCAGACTGAAAACTGAAAGTTTTTCAGTTCGATTTTGACCTGACTTGCTGACCATATTGCCGCAAAAGATGAGACACATAATATTGCAATCTGGATAGTCCACTGCAGAAGAAATATGATGTCTATTTTCTTGACATCAATGACAGCAAAAACACACAAAACGCTGAAACAATAACAAAAGTGCGCAGAACAAACAAGAAATATTGGAAGAGAAAACAAGCGTTCGGTGTGGTACAAGAAATTGAGTAATCTTTCTTTTTCCTTTAGTATCGTCAACTGTTTTTTCTTTGAAAATTCCTCTGGATGACTTAAATCAGCTACCATAGTCAGTTTTTTAATTCTTGTCGAGTAAAACATACACAGTCTAGAATAAAATATACCGATTAAACTTGTTGAAAAAGGATGCAAATAAAATTGAAAGAATAATTTTACGTAAATGATTATATTCAAAACAGTTTCGTTGAATTTATAACCTCGCGTTAATGACATCTGAATCGCAACTGTACCATCAGATTTAATTAAAATAACAAGAAGAGGATATGTAAAAAGGGCAACATATAACAAAAGTACATAATATGTATTTTTCCATGTACAATTGTTTTTGTACTCCGATGTTAGAATTTTAAGAAATCGAAATATTTCCTTTATTCTTATTAGTGTAACAACCCAAAACACCAAACTTATGCTAGGAGATAAAAGAATAGTTAGAGTTATTTGCCAAAACGTAGAAGAATAATGTCTAATGACAACTGCTATCGCCAAATCGATGTAAATAACAAGTGAACTCAATAAAAATATCCAAGAAAAGAATATCTTCCATAAGTCTGTTCCTCTAGACTTGAAGTCAAGACTACAAAAGAGAACTTTGAGAAAGCACAAATTCCCACAATTATTTCTGAAAATTTTGACTGCCATTTCTCAAAATTTTTCGCTCCTTTTATTTATATTCCTCCTTTAAATTACATTTTAGAGAGACTTAAGGATAAAAAAAATACTGAAAAGTCAGTCAGTTCTGTCAGTTTCGCAGTCAGTTCTGAAACTTTTTACAGTGGCTTTTCTGAGAAAGCATATAAATTTCCACAATTATTTCTGCAAAGTTTTTCAAATTGCTTTAAGTCTTTCATCTGTATTTCAATTCAAACAATATTTGTTGAGGATTTTTAGGAAAGCAGAAATTCGTTTAGTGGCTAAAAATTTACGCCATTCTTTTTTTTTTTTATTTATTTATACTTTAAACAATATTAAATGTTTTTGGCAAAACATAAATTTCTTCCGACATTTTTGAAAAGTTTTGCAGCTATTTTTAATACAATTTTATTCGCACGCTTTTAGATAAAATTTATTAAAAATGTGTCGATACTCAAAGGTTATAAAGAGGTTTTAGGGCAGCACTAAATTTTCCCCTTTCTTTTCTCTGAATCTCTTCAGCTATTTCTCAAAATACTGCTCGTCTATTGGCGTAATTCATTCTTTAAAAATTTTCACGTCCAATTCTAAAAAGTGGAACAGTCTTACAGTTCTCATCTAAATTCTTCAGATCTTTTAGATTAGCTATATTTAACATCAATCACAAATTTCCACATACATTTCTAAAAAGTTTTGCGGTCATTTTAAAAATCCTCTCTTATACTTCTAACTTAATGATATCTAACATTTGTTTAAGCTTTAATAAATAAACATTTACACGATCATAAAAAAAAAGGTTCTGCAGACTTTTTCAAAATTTTCGCACATACACCGACGTGTTCAGCTATATTTTGAGCATTGGTAAACAAATTCAAGAGCGCACAAACTTTCGCAGCCTTACACCTGAAAATTCATTCATTTTCAAAATTATTTCTCTTTTAATTGTTCCACTTTACCAATTCATGCGTCAATGACTGTGCAATCGTTATAAAAGTAAACGGTATTAAAACATCAACAGAAAACCGTATGTAAGAATATGGTTAATATTTATTGGTCCATTATCACGTAAATGTTTTTTTAGTCACGATAATGTAAAGAATAAACAATTGCATATTCAAATTAAGAAAAAGTAAACACCAGAGCGTGTCAAGTGATGACTCACGATCAATTTCGTCGCAAACCTTCACTGCCTTACTATACGTTCTTCCTTGGAAGAAGAAGTTTAAAGTAGGCTTAACTTAAAGTTTATTAAAAAGGCAAACCTTTTAAAGAAATCAATATAAGGGTATCTCCTGAATAGACTTAAAATGAATTTATGTACAACAATCTAAATAGATGTACGGAAAAGAACTTCTTAATGGTATCGATTTATTGCCTCGTGTTTGACTATGTTTACATTATTTGTGAGGATGAAAAGATGTCTGAACGAATTTAATGAACGGAAGAGTTAAAATATATTTGCTTTACAAAAATTTCGAAGCTTATTCTTGTCAATATTTGTTGTTTTCCAAGCTTTCGATAAAAAAATATAATCCATCAAATAGAAAGTAAACACTGTCAAATTTTGAGTTATTTTACCTTACTAACATTAACTAATATTAAACCATGAATATAATTGTCCTATCACTGAGCTTTTTTTTTCTTTTTTTTTAAGTCTCCGAATGTCTTTTTGTTACCAAATTTAAATCTGGGTATTATTTTTTAGATTATGGGACGAGGCTTCAAAAGAGGCTTAGAAATGAAAGTTCAAAGCGTACTCCTGTTAATATTTTTCAAATTTTTGGTAAATGAATATAAGCCATCAAATAGAAAGTAAACACTGTCAATTTTCGAATTATTTTACCTTACTAACAATACTTAATATTGTACAATAAATACAATATTAACCTTTCGCTGTGCTTGTTTTTGAGTCTCTGAATGTCTTTTTGTTTGAAAATTTAAATCTGCTTATTATTATTCTTTTTAGATTATGGGACGAGGCTTTAAAAGAGGCTTCGAAATGAAAGTTCAAAGCGTACTCCTGTTAATATTTGTTATTTTTCAAATTTTTGGTAAATGAATGTAAGCCATCAAATAGAAAGTAAACACTGTCAATTTTCGAATTATTTTACCTTACTGGTAATACTTAATATAGTACAATAAATACAATATTAACCTTTCGCTGGGCTTGTTTTTGAGTCTCTGAATGTCTTTTTGTTTGAAAATTTAGATCTGTTCATTATTATTTTTTTTTTAGAATATGGGACGAGGCTTCAAAATAGGTTTAGAAATGAAAGTTCAAAGCGTATTTCTGTTCATATTTGTTATTTTTCAAATTTTAGGTGAATGAATATAAGCTATCAAATAGAAAGTAAACACTGCACTGCCAAATTTGAGTTATTTTACCTTATCAACATTTACTAATATTGAACAATAAATTTAATATTGTCCTATCACTGGGCTTGGTCTTGGGTCTCTGAATGTCCTTTTGCTTGAAAATTTAAATCTGTGTTTTACTTATTTCTTTTAGACGAAGGAACGAGGCTTCAAAAGATGCTCATAAATGATATTCCGTTTGCCATCGTTAGTGA